CCAATTATATATCGCTTTTAAACTGTTCTCTCCCTCATCTGTTTCAATGCAGTATAAGAATTGATCTTTTTATTTCCACTGCTCCAGCCCCAGCTAAATCCAGGCCTTTATTCATGGCCTTCTGAGATTTCTTTGCCTCCAATGTTTCTCTAATCTCTCTTCATAGATAACAAGTGAACTTTCTAAAAATCACCTATGATTATAAGCACACTGAGGTTACAATTTTCCAATGATGCCTCATTTTCTTTAGGATAGAATTTAAATTATTTCTGAAAAGCAAAGGTGTCAAATATAATAACTAGGTGTACCTCACCCCAACCATAGTCTTTTTAGTTACCTCTGAAAAAGGAAGACCAAAGGCCTAATGCATTTGAATTCTGATGCTGTCAAAGAATATTGAATATACCTCGGCTGCCACAAAAATTAACAAAATTAGTCTTAGAAGAAATAAACCACAGTGCTCACAGCATGTGAACTGCTTTATTGGGCACACTGTAATTTAGTCTGTGGTGTTTGCAATATGCCAAGTTAATAAGAGCTCTGGTGTCTTAGTGCATAAGGAATTACACTGCCAATCCAAAGACACACTGTTCAAATCTACTGGTTGTTCTATGGGAGAAAGATGGGCATTCTCCTTCCTTGTGATTTACAGTCTCTAAAAATTTGCTGGAAGGTCAGCTATAAGTCAGTTCCAACTTGACAGCACAAAACAATAAGAAATTAGTATTAGATATTCTGCGATTAAGGCCTTATGTCTATATCATCTCTGCTGCTGTTATGATAAACTTGCATGTGTATCTAATTTACTTCCAGCCTTTCAGTGGAACCTACCTGAATAACAAGGAGTCAGGAATGTATCACTGTGTATGCTGTGATAGCCCACTCTTCAGGTAAGATAAAGGATAAAGAAACACCAAGAACAAACAAGCCTTCAAATCCTTGAGGCTCCATCTCAACTGAGGGCATGGGAAAAGCAGTGCCTTCTTCCTTGGCATTGTTGCTGAAGTAGAGCTATTTACATAAGACACTTCCCTGTTTTGATTGTATTTAGCATTTAGAACTGTTAACAGGACTTCTTAGCCTATATTTTTCCTTTCCCTATCCCTGAGAAATAAACACATGAAAAGCTTCGTGGGCACCTTAAGATAAAGCTATTATAATTCTTTAGAGGAAAAGTATTTAGAGAAATCTAAATCATAATCATATTTGTTTGAACATATAATTAAAACTCTCTCTATCCTAGCGAAAATGGGTTTATAACTTAATTTAGGAAATGTAGACTTTTATGAAGATAAAGTCCATACAATATCTGACAGTAGTAAATGCCTTGCCCTCTTTGATAAAGCTAAGACTAAATTTAATTGTCCCTTGATTTCAAAGCTTCTTTTAAGTCAATCTGGATCTTAAATCTCTCAAAAAAAGTCTTTTTTGTTTAGACATGTAGGAAACAGTCTTTAAAAAAGTAAATTTGATGAAGGATAAAGGAAAACTTCTTTGAAGTTCTGTTTTTCAGAACTTCAAAGATGTTTGTCTTTCTCGTGTATCTATCCTAAATTGGTTTAGAATAAACTATCAATCAAGCCAGCTCCGTGAATATTCCATTAAGGCAGGACTTCATCATGTCCTTTGAGCAGCAGAATGGGCTTTCCTGGTCAGTTGCTAATATGGGTTGCAGGAAAACCAGACCTCCACCATCAAGAATGAAGAGTGATTAGGATTGATTTTCCTTCTTGCTCCCTGAAAGGCAGGCCTTTGCCAGATTCACTCCCTCTCAGTTGCCCATGTGGACACCTCTGGGACTTCCGTTAACCCAAGATGGCAAGGCATAAACTAAGAGAAGCAAGTTCTGTATCATTCAGTAAAATGTGCAGCTTCTATTTTGAGGACATTAATGAGTCTCTGACCTTGTTTCTGTTAAAGAGAACTAGGACTTTGAGATGGTCAGCCTGCTTTCAGTCATGTTGTGAAAATATAAAATACTGCCTTCTTACCATATATTTATCCCACAAAATCTCTTTCTCTGGATTGCGAAGACAAAAGATGAGAAGTCATCCTCTTAAGAGATCTGTCTTTTATTTCATTCTTTACTTTTTTTCCTTTCATTGATGTTTCAGTTTCTGCATCTCTAAAGGTAAGGAAGGCCTTCTTCCTACTCCTTCCTACCTGCTCCCCAGCTGCCAGGTTCTTCACAAAATCACACTACAGTAGAGCAAGTAAGGAGCAGAGAGATCAGAGTAGAAAAATCTGTGCAACAGAATTCCAATAGAAATATTCTTTCTGTACTGTGCCACTGAGCACATTTGATTTTGAACACATGAAATGTCTGAGTGAGAAAATGGCATTTTTATTTTAATGAATTTAAACTTAAAAGCTTCATGTGTCTAATGGCTACATATTATTTTCATATACATATATAATTGTAGTGCTAGTAGTGTAGTTCAAATTTAAAAAAAAATCTTACTCTCACTGCCTTCAAATTGAAACTGACTCACCGCTGACCCTCCAGCAGGTTTTCAGAGAGAAGCTTAAAGATTAACCCAAGTCACTGACATGGTAAAGTGGACAGCTGATTCTCTGAAAGCCTGTATACCAAGTGACTGGTTTGCCTAACTGCCAATTCGCCCACCCACCCACATTGTTCCTTTTAAACAATTTCATTTCAACTGAAAAGTTTCCATCAGAGGATTTCCAAGACTATAAATCTTCATAGAATCACATGGCTTCATCTTTCTTTCTGCCATCAGCTGAGCAACTGGTGGGTTCAAACCTTTTAGTTAGGAGGCTAATGTCTTACCCTCAGCATCCCCAGAACTCCTTTCCTGTCATCACTCCCACACAATTTAGAACTTGATTGTCCACTACTGACTCATTTTATTTAGCATGAGCTTAAGGTCCTGGGCCATCTTCAATTTCTTGCGCTGTTACTGTTCTTCCTAACATAAAGAAACATACTTAGAAAGATTAAATAATTTGCCCTGGGTTCTGCAGTTAATAAGTAGGTGAAATTTGAACACTTGTCTCTCAGACACCAAAGCCTACACTCTCTAAGCCTCAGTTCCATAAGCCACTTGGGCACCAGTGCATCACTGGGCACCATCCCCACCTGGTGGCAATTTTCTGAATTACAGATGTAAATCCCCAAGAAGACATGAGCAGCCTCAGTTGGGAACACCCTGGACATTTTAATGACAGCACTCGGAGCTCCTTTCCAAAGTCTTCTTCCCAGCCACATCTGCTCGATTCCCAAAGTCACTCTGCATCAGAGAGCTTTAATGAAGGACGTCCAAGTCAAGGACACTGTCTAAAATGTTAAACTCCCTCAGGACTCCCAGACTGTCATTAACCTTGGGATTACTGCCCTCTCATACTGCTTCTTCCCTCTCTTCCTTTCCCTTCCCTCTACCTTATAAGCCAATTTTTTTTTCTTTTCATTTTTCTTCTTTTATTGCCAATTCTGATTATCAAAATCTATTATGGGATTCCACTTCATGGTGACACATCTTGAAATAGAAGGAAAATGAGAGCTTAATAATAGTTCAATGGTAACTAATATCCTGATGTCCTACATGTCACATAACTCAGTAATGTTGTTTAAAGACCCTGTATGTGCCTTTACTAACCTCTCCCCTCCTCAAATAAAGGGAAATCCCACCAAGATGTCAGCCTAATCAGTTATTGAAAGGTACCTCAGCTGCTGATTTGGAGGTTGTAGAATTTCCAGAAATGAAAACAAAGCAAAGCAATGCATAACAAATTACCTTGCAGAGTAAATGAGGAGAGTCCTTTAGAATGGTTAACTTTTTTTTTTAAGGATGAGCTTATAATCTACTATAATTTAAACATATATTGAAATTTCTAATTGGTCTTTTTAGGTTTTCAGTCTTAATTATGTATATTGAACCTCTTTTATTGCTTTGTGAAATCGGTACATTCTGTTAATTGCATCAATAAAGGTTTATTGTTTCCCATAAAGTGTTTTAATGGCTTTTTATTAGACTTAGATTCATTAATTTACTCAAAATTGTCAATCAAAAGACCTCTAATTATTATGCATTTATATATAGGAAGCTCTGGTGGCCTAGTGATAACTAATTTCCCTGCCCACCCAAAAGCATGCTATTCAAATCCACCCAATGCTACATGGGAAATGGATGGGCAGTCTCCTTCTGTGCAGTTTACAGCCTCAGAAAACCCACTGGAGAGTTAGCTGTGAGTCCTGATCAACAGCACATGATAACAATAATTTATACATATAAAACTGTGCTTGTGGTATTTTTCCTTAGGCCAGAGTGGCTTGAATGAGTATTATTTAAATCCTTGGAGAAAGATTATAAAGAATGTACAGACACTTCTGCTTGACTCTACTAGTGCTTAAATTTCATGAATATTTGTAATTAATAAGAATAATGATATTAAATAGTGTAGCTACTAATGATTGCATACCATGTCTCAAACATCACGGTAAACACCTTAAATACAGCAAGTATCTGGATTTAATTTTCTCAGCAATCTTGCGAGTTAATAGTGCCATTTCTATTATAAGGACATTTTTATTTATAGAGAAGAAGATTGAAAAGATTGAATAATTTACCAAGGTCATACAGAAATAACTGGCAATATCTGGATTCACACCCAAATTTCGGACATCCTAGTGCTTGTTCTTATCATCGCCCATGAAGTGTCTGGTGGATTAGAACTGTGTGCCTTTGGGATTGCAGCACAGCTTTTTCTTACCACTAGGCCACTAGTACACTCCACATAGTGCTTACTCTTAGACCTGTGCTTCTCAGCATGTGGTCCGGCATTTTTTTTTTTCTGGGGTCTAGGTAACTTCAGTACTTCTGTAATGTAAAGGGGTCCTGAGACCAACATGGTGAAAAAACATTATATCATGTTGTGCTGCTGATACTGGGCTTCAAATGCCAAACAGAGCTTCCTTTTTATTCAAAGTCTAGGAATTTATCACCTTTTCTTATTTGCTTAAAGTCTAGGAATTTGTCACCTTTTCTTATTTGCTTAGTTGTTTTGGGTTGGCTTTTTTTTTGGTTTGCTTGTTTGATTGGGGTTTCTTTCTTTCTCTCTCTCTCTCTCTTTTTTTTTTAGGGATTAACATTGAATTATTCTCTTCCTTAGAACCATCTTTTTGAAAGGAAAAAAAAAATCTACTTTCTTTGTGCCAGCCACTTAGAAAAAGCAAACCATCCAAACCAAAAAGCTATTGAATCAATTCTGTCTCACAGCAACCCAAGAGGACAGAGTGGAGCTGCCACACAGGCAGCCGACTGCCTCATCTTTTCTCCCACCGAACAGCTGCTTGGTTGGACCCACCAGCCATCTAGTCAGCAGTGGAGGGCTTTTATTGAATACACTCTAGATTGCCAAAAGAACAAAAAAAATTGACTTGAAGAAGTGCAGCTAGAACACTCCAAAGACACAAGGGTGGTGAAACATGGTCTCGCATACTTCCCACGTGGTCTCAGGAGGTGCCGGTCTACAGAGAAAATAGCATGCTGGGTAAAGCAGAGGGTCAACGACGAGAGAAAGGCCCTCAACAGGACACACTGGGACCGTGGCCTGAGTTGGCTCGAGCACTGCAGCAGCTGTGTGGATGGAGAAGGACTGGACAGCGTTTTATTCTCTCTGGTATCTTAGGATTGCCATGGGTCAGACCCACCTGATGGCACCTAAAAACTACAAAAAGGGTGTTACTTAAAGGCTATTCTATTTCAATGCAATTAAAGAATAGGGTTTTAAAAAAATTACTTAATATTGATTGGCATATAAAATTCATATATATTGTATTTCATACAATCATTCCCATACACTGTTCTATAAAATTTATCACCACTGATCCATGCTCAACATTACCCCACCTTTTCAGATTCCCATTGGGTCCCTCCTAATTCTTTTCACACTGTCCCTCAGCCCACCAAACTCTGCAACTTTGGGATTCATCCCCAGCCCCCATCCTCCTTCCCTTTCCCCCTTTAGAGTTTTGTATATATCTTACTAGTAATCCTTTTATTTTTATAATTATGGCTGATGCAGTATTTGTCCTTATGGAACTGATTTTATGAGTTGTTCTTATTGTTGTTGTTCTGTGCTGTTGAGTCATAGTGACCCTATGCACAGTAGCTCTGAATTCTGCCCTGTCCTGAGCCAGTATCACTAATTCTGACACACCAAACCCCATTGCCCCAGTTACTATATCAATACATCTCATGTGAGGTCTCCCTCTCTCCTGTGCTGTCTCTCCACCCTTCCAAACATGATGGCCTTCTCTAAGGACCAGTCTCTCCTGGCCATGGGCCCAAAGTATATAAGATGGAGCTTCAAAACCCTATCCTCTAAGGAGAAAATTGGTTTCACCCTCACCAAGACAGACCTATTTGTTTTCTTGGAAGTCCATGGTATGTTCAAGACTCTTCTCCAGCACAACTTGAAGGCTTTGATTCTTCTTCTGTCATCCTTAGACATTGTCCAGCTTTATGAAGCATAGCAAGTAATTGCAAAGACCATGGCCTGGATTAAGTGTACCTTAGTCTCTAGTCTGACATTGTTGCTTTTCAGCACTCTGGAGAGATCCCTGACAGCAGATTTTCCCAATGCAAATCATCTTTTGATTTTCTCACTGCTGACCAGGAAAAAAATCTGTTAAATCTGTTAAGAGTGTTGATTATCGAGCCAAGCAAGCTGTTACTGTTAACAACCTCAATCTCTTCTCCATCTATCAATGTGCTGCCAGTTGGCCCAGAAACTTTGTCTTCATGATGTTGAGCTTCAATCCATATTGAAGACTATAGCCCTTGACCTTCTACAGCTAATGCTTTAGGTCTTCTTCAGTTTCAGCCAGCAAGACTGTTGTCATCTGCATAATGTAGGGTGTTGATGAGTCTTCCTCCAATTCTGATGCCACACTCCTCAGAAATCCCAGCTTCTATTGATCTATTCTGCATATCGACTGAAAAGGTATGAAGACAGGATGCATCCCTGACCCACGCCTTTGCTGATTTTAAGCCATGCAGTGTTACCCAGCTCTGTTCTGAGGACTGCTTCCTGGTCTAAATATAGGTTTCACATAAGCACAATTAAGTGTTCTGGGATTCCCATTTTCCTCAAGGTTAGCCACAGTTTGTTGTGATCCACACAGTCAAATGCCTTTCCATAGTTAATGAAGCACAAATAATTATTCCTCTGGTAC